GTTTGAGAGAGGCGGGGCATAGAGGACCTACAATAATGTACAGTATTTGAAAAATAATTAACATTAAAGCATGTCAACATATTCTGTTACACCAAATACACAAAATAATGATCATTAAAAAAGCATCATATGACCCCTTTAAAAATGATTAGACCAGAGTCCCATTTCATACTAAATAAAAATGTATCAGTAGCTTTCCCATCTCATATTTACCAGTAAATCTATTTTTCCCCCTTTGTATTAGCTTACCAAGTGACCCTGAACTAGCACCCATAAAAAAAAAAAGCAATGACGTTGCCATATGGGCCACAAAGAATGACAGCACATTGACACTACCCTTCACAATGTAACCTTGTGTTGATCTTCCTGATTTTCATTTCAATTCAAGTTTATTTGTATAGCGCTTTTCACAATACAAATCGTTGCAAAGCAGCTTTACAGAAAATTATGTTTCTACAATATATTTAGTAGCAGCTTGTCAGTGGTGACTATGTCAAATTGATGTACATGTACAGTAAAATTCAGTTAATGATGCAATCAGACAATGAACACTATTAACAGCAATGATTATATGTTGCAACCAAATTGTAGCAAAATTTTGTAGTTTTTTTTTTTTTTTTGAGATATTGAGATGATGTGGACACATGTACTCATGTGTGGATTTTGGCACATATTAAAATTCTAATAAAAAAGATCTTTGGCTATTCTGTTGGATCTCACTGATTTTTTTTTCAGCATCTTGCGCCACAAAAAAAAAATAAGTCAACTAGTTAAATGTAGATGTCACAACATCAGATTTTTCACTACAGGATTATCTTGTCTAAAAGAATTCACGATAATTATTTATTGCAGTATCTATAGAAATCTTGAAAAAAAATGCTGTCAGTCAAATACATCTGTTCTTAAATTTTGTGTTTTATTTATTTATTTTATTTCATTTTATTTTTTGGGTTATTTATTCTTGTCTTTTTTTTATATATTTATATCCGTATAGTTTTATTTCACTTCAGTAATGAATGATAACTTTCCTTGGCAAGCTGAAATAGAATATTTGTATTTATTTGGTTAACTATAACCCTTTTTGGTCTGTTATGGAAATAACATATAGGACTGAACAAATCATGTCAGGAAAAACAGAAGGGTATTGCTCTAGCAGATGATAGGCTAATTGTGACCGTTTCTCTGAGTTTGAAGACAGAAGCTGTATTCTTCACAGATACCTGTTCTTTTCAAGAAGTACAAAAGAACAGCAAGTTGACAGCAGGCAGGGTGACTCGCATCACTCTTAACCAGTGAACTGCACATCACAAGACCTGAAGTAAAAGTAGTGACAACAGACCTGTCTTGTTAAAATGATTTAGACCAGCAGATTAAATCTAGCTGCACAAAGACATAAATTCACAATTCAGCAGGGGGAATAAATAAATACAGGGTTTAAAAAAAAAACTTGGCACTTTCAAAAAGGCAAGATGGGGGTAAGGTCTTCTAATCAATGCTGAAGAGTTGGGTGATTGATCCTTCAAGTGTCTCCAACAATCAACGGCTTTTCAAACTGACAGAAGACCCGATACTGATTAAATCTGGCTTCCGTTCAAGTGTCAGTTAATTACTCGAGGCAAATTACTAAGAACTAAAGAAAAGGGATGGAACAGTGGTAACGTCTTTATGTACTGGAGCTAAAGACCTTGTGGAGGCACATTAGCCTCAGTAATGACTCGGTAAACACGCTTCAATCCGAGTCTAATCATTAGTGCGCATGTCGCCCCCTAGTGACTGATACACATCCTACAGCGCACATTAATATTTCAAATGTCTCTCTACTCTAGAAGAGATTATTAGGGTGATTCATCTGACAGAAGATAGACGAGCCAAGAGCGCTGAGGATAAGTGAACAAATCTCTAATTTTATAAAAGAAATGAAATAAATCGAAGTAATATGCCTATTTATCCCTTTAGTATAGAAATTAACATGGGGAAAGAGTCCAAATGAAAGGGAACATATTAGAAACGATGGCTGTAATTTCACATCCATATGCCATTCACAGCTCGTCTCGCACTGGAGGCACCGATATTGCTGACAGCTGGGCTTCCCGACTGTTAATGACTTAATGAAGCGAATAAGGCAAGGTCCCTGTGCCCCCTCGAGCTGCAGTAATGAGCAAAGTTTAAACATGGATTACTCCTCCTCTGGGCCCTGGATAAAACTCACATTCATTCTCCAAGTAACAAGAGACTGATCTGTGACATGCTGACAGATTAGATCAGATCCCCTCTTTGTTCTGAGCTCAATAGGAAAGCAGTGTCAAACTCAAGAACAGGGTTATTAATGGATGAAAATGCCTGTGAGAATTTCAGAGTTCAAATCAAAAAGCGGTTCAAGTTGCATTCAGCTGTTTAAAGATGACATCGCTTTTCATGAAACAAAGCTTCTGGAAGCAGATTAACAAAATACTAGTGCCGCCCACTAATATTGGCACCCTTGGGGAATATGAGCAAAGGTGGCTGTGACAATAAATCTGCATTGTTTATCCTTTTGATCTTTCATTCGAACAATTTACAAAATTCTAACCTTTCATTGAAGTAAAACAATGGAAAGTGGGGGGAAACTCACATTATGAAATAAATGTTATGTTTTTCTCTAGTTCACGTTAGCCACAGTTATAGGCACCCAATTATTGCAATGTCCTTTTCCCAAGATAACAGTTCTGAGTTTTCTCCTATAATGCCTGATGAGTTTGGAGAACACCTGAGAAAAGATCAGAGACCATTCCTTCATCCAGAGTCACTCCAGATCCTTCAGAATACCAGCTCCATGTTGGTGCTTCTTATCTTCAGTTCACCACACTCATTTTCTACAGGGTTCAGGTCAGGGATTCATTTTGTGATCAGTGGCCCATTTTTATGTTGATTTTGATGTTTGTTTTGGATCATTGTCTTGATGGAAGATCCAAACATGTTCCATTATAAGATTTCTTACAGAGGCAGTCAGGTTTAGATTTTTTATCTGTTGGTATTTGATAGAATCCATGATGCCATGCATCTGAACAAGACATCCAGGACCTCCGGCAGAAAAATAGGCTCACAGCATTAAAGATCCAGCAGTATATTTAACCGTGGACATGGGGTACTTTATATCCCGGTTTGCACCAAACCCATCTGGTGGGTTTGCTCCCAAAAAGCTCTTTTTTATGTTTCATCTGAACATAGAAGCCAGTGCCATTTGAAGTTCGTCGTGTCTGACAGCTGAATATGCTGCAGTTTGTTTTTGGATGAGCCAGGAGTTTTTTTTCTTGAAACCCATTTGAACAACATGTGGTGACGTAGGGGCTCTTTGATATTTATTTTTAGGTTTTCTGACCCCAAGACTCAACTACTATCTGCAATTCTTCAGCTGTGATCCTTGGAGAGTCTTTGGCCACTCAATCTCTTATATAGACACACGTCCTCTTCCACGCAGATTTGTAACATCTTTAGTTGATTGGAATTTCTTAAATATTGCCCTTTGCTCATATTTACCAAGGGTGCCAATATCAGTGGGCATCACTGTAAAAAATAACAACAAAAAAAGTAAATCTTATTACTAAAAAAGTTGTAAGATTTACTAAATTTGCACCTGCTAAATCACATATTACTGAAGATAGTGAGATATTGATCTAATGCAACTATACAATGTTTGATTTATAAGAAAAATATATGACATTGCCCCCATTAAGAACAATGTGCATTTATTTTAAAGTTGTAAGATATTTAGAAACGTATCTGCTGATACAGCAACCAATGTGTTATAGAATCACTCGCTCATTTAGTAATTGTATTTTGAGTTTGTTTGAATAATCCTAGTAAAAGAGATTCATTAAAAAGGTAAATGTATTCATGAACTATATACAAGCATATGAATATTTACATATTTAATTACCCATATTTTAATTGAAAACGTCATAATAGCAATACAATGAATGCAAATTCAATGATTTTACTCAAATAGCCTTTAATTAAGAAAAGGCGAAGATGTCTAAAATGTACATCTAACACATAATTATTGCATTATAACCCCATGAATTATAATAAGTATTACAACTAAAAATAATAACTACATGCCACTTGGGCCTTCTGCGCTAATTCTGGAGGAAGCATCTCACCCCAAGGGTCTATTATCTTTTTACTTTGAAATAAAAACACATTTTACTCCACAAATCGAAATGTGTGCACCAATCCTCTCATTAACAGATCAATTAACCTCAAAACTTTTTAGGCTGACTAAATCTCACAAATAATATTCAAATAAAATTAAAAATATATTTAAATTAAATCAAAATAGCATAGCCATTTATGAAAAGTGTTTAAATTCTGTACCATCTATGGTCAAGAGAAACTTCATATATATGGCTATAAGACCCCCAGCTACTGGATTTTACTCTCCTCTACCTCAAATAATAAGTTATGCATAGGGGACAGGAGTTTTAATATTTAATCAACTAATTATTCTACACAAGGTACGCCAGGGATGACTGAATAAGTAATTGCACCTTCATGACTTTATAATCACTCACAGTGAATAAACCTAATCTAGAAATCAATAATACACAGAGCGACATGCTGTTGAGACTGTGAGACCAAGACAGTACAGAGCAATTCATAAAATATGAAGATTAATCAAGACAGGTAAAAATGTAAATTGAAAAGATGGCGGTGAAAGACAAAGAAACAGGCAGGGACTTCCAATTATAATCAATGCAATGCTCAAATAATGTCAACCACTCAAGACGTCTTGCGGAAAGACATGGAAAAGCTTTTAAACAGCTTGAACAAACCCCATTATGCCAGCCACTCTGCTAGTGCATCAAAAATGACTAATTATGCCATTTGAGTCCTTTAAGGGGGAATCCAGCTGGCAAACTGTAGCCTTATTGGCTGATTTAAATTCACAAGGAAAGCTTGCCAAAAAACCCCACATCAGATTACTGGTTAATTTCAGCATGAAATTAACATTGATGTGTACAGACATGTTTCTTCAACCCATCTAAGACTAGCTACAAAAGCATGTGGCATTTGTCAGCAAGACTCAATAAGTGAACATCATTTATGGGTCTCATCGGGTATTTATTCTTTCAATCTATGCATGAGACAAGTGATTCACGTACATATTTACAAAGGTTTACACAAAAACTAAAAAGTATTCTGGGTAGCAGGTGTTGCTTGTTCATTAGTGTGTATGGTGATAATATGTATTAATATGAGACAGGCTCTACAACTATACTTTGTATTTAAAGTGGCCTTGTGATTAATGTAATCCGTCATATGCATCCACAGGTAACTCCCCGAGCAGCTCATCAAGGTCATCTTAAAAGAAACATTCACAAACACAGGTTAATACTTAAATGCACACTCTTCACAATTCAAAAAACACCAAAGCATCTGAAAATTAAAAAGCTACATTTTTCTTTCCCATTTGAACAGATTAATTTAGCACAGCATACCACCCACTGTCTGGAACACAAATGATTACTTGTTGAAATTTAATAGAGTCTAGTGAATTGTCTGATAAAAGCCATTAGGATAATTGCATTATTCTTATCTGAAAATCTCAAATAAAGCGCAAGCGATGTTAAAAAAAAAATAAATAAATTCATGAATGTAAAAGAATCCAGCTTAGGGGTGTGCGATAAGCAAACATTTATCACAAATCATGATACGCTCAAAATGTTGGCTGATTTATAAATCACATCAGCTCCTTCTAGGCCTGACAGAGCCTAAGGTTCTAAGGTTATAGATACTACAGTAAACCCATGGTCAAGTTTTGTAAGGATACTAATGTAGATTTAGAAGCTTTCTTATTATTACCGCTTTGTGTGACCCTTCTTGTTTTCTTCCTCGGTGCAGTTTAGTACATCAAATCAGTTAAATATGGTTTAAATTAGCTTAAGAATCGAGTCATTTAGGGGTCAGAAAATTGTTTGTAACAATTTTGTGCCAAATTCAAATGGGTCTGGGCAAATGGGCAAAAGTATCCATTTAGCCTTGCCTAGATCTATTTCAACAAAGGTTTTTCTAACTTCATACCTGATGCTTTTAACATGCAAATGATGCGGTTCATGAAACTATAAAACGGTTCGTTCTGGTTCTCTATTTTAAATGGTCAAGTGGCACTTCAGGAGTACGGTCATTGGGCCTCATTTACGAAACGAACGTACGACAGAAAATTGGGCGTACGGTCGTTTCAACGCAAAACTTGAAATTTATCAATATGGACGTGAGCGGTGGCTACGATGAAATCTCACGTCTGGTCTCAGCTCGTGTACGCAAGTTTTTGAGTTACCTGAACTTGCGCGCAGCGTAGTTATTATGGTGGAGAATTCTAGAATGACAGCATTTTGTTCATTTTTATTTTCCTGACCGTCAAATGAAGCTCATTAGACGATCATTATCCAGTAAAATTAGAATGTCTGTATTTTTGGGGGGGGGGGGGGGGGAAAAAGGCGCGTCTTTATTTGATTAAATCCATCTGATCACACGGGCGCCTCACGCACACACAAACAACATTAGTTCTACCATTGCCTGACATTTCAGCTATTCATCATAAAACTAAAATGCAGTCAACCAAACATAGGCCTAAAAGTTACACTGATTATTTTAAAAAAGGTCCGCTGTAAAATCACCGTGCAGTGCCCAAACAAACATTTTTGCGCATGTGAAGGATTTTACACGGATATTAGAACATGAGTGAAGCATATGTTTAGGCTACATAATAAATAATAGTTATGCAAACAAATGTTACAAATATGGCAAACATGGAAACGTTTGGATTCTTGTGGTATGAGACAGGCTTGTGAGCCCAATGCGGTTTCAGTTTTGCTTTACATTTGTATGCTGTTTATAATGAATGCCACTATAGCCCAATTAGATTTATTTTATAGTTGAATATATAATTTTATAACTATTTATTTTTCATTCTTGTTCTGTTCTGAATACCGTTAAATTTAAAATATTTGTTGTAGAGTGAAGGGAACTAAATAGGCTGTTTATATTTACGAGTATTTTAATATACATATAAATTACATAAATTAATGTAGCCTAATAGTTTGCAATTACAAGGTTAACAGGTATTTTTGGAGTAAGATCAATTTCTCTTTGACGAGATTACTTCCTCTTTTTGGCCGGGTTTCGTTTCTGCGTGTCGTAAACTCTAGGGGCGAGGCTTCTAAACCAGGGTGTTTTTAGGGGCATGATATTCAAATGACGATTGTTTTCTGCCGCCACATTTATCAACGCGCGATCATTCCTACGATGAGATTGGCAGCATACGAATGTTTCATGAATCACACGTGAACTCTGTCGTAAGTTGATTTGTGCGCACGGATCTGCACTCGTTTCTACGTTAGATTGATAAATGAGGCCCATTATGTCTATTTTTTTTCTGTTCCAGGCCAGACCAGAGTATATGAGTGTAGAAGTTGTCCCAAAAACACGATTAGGCAACTATGGTCTCAAGTTCCATCGAAATCATATTCCAATGAACATTTGCAAACAGCATTGCAACTCTTTTTTGAAAAGATTGTTTGAAACTCTCTCTCTCTTTCTCACCTGTGGTCAAATAGAAGCATAGCAAACAAACTATAATAATCGGACATTCTCAAATTGATTCTCAAATACTCCACCACCCGTAAGTGATGTCCAATATTGTTAAACCAACATGGCTCAAATGATGTTGGAACATCCATGTGAATAGCTAGTTATTTTCTCCAATTATGCATCATACTATGATGGTTAGGTAGCAAATCATGTTGCTGTATGGGAAACAAACCCCAGAGCAGGTTTTGCTTGGCAGTGGGAATGGAATACATGAAGCAACGAGTATATACAGAACACTTAGGGTGTTTACACTTGGCAGGTTTGGTTCAATTAAAACTAACTCTGGTGTGGTTAGTTTAAATAAGTGTGAATGCTGCCATTCAAACTTTGGTGCGCACTAAACAATCGGACAGAGACCAATCTTTTCAGGGGGTCTCGGTCCACTTCCAAATCAACACTGGTGCAGGTTGAACAATACGGGCTATGAACAGAAAAGGAACATAAGATATCAAAATGAACCAAAATAATGATGTGATGTTAGGGAGTTCCTGCTGCCAGTTTGCAAAATATGTCATAAACACTGTCCAATCAGTTTGTGATCATATCTATTTGTCTTTTGCTTTGTATCTTTAGGTTTGTTGTGAAACACAACAGTGAGAACGCCAAGCGAACCAGGACTAACTGTAACATTTTATTTTTTGGACCGAACCAAACATACAACCTTAGAGCAAGAAAAAGAAATCTGTCAGTCCACTCACATACTCCGTTCCACACCAGCTTTTGGCCAGTACATCGCTTTGAGACTAAAACAGCACACTTGCTTGTGTGATATTGCTTAACTGATGATACTCCAACATACACACCTGTGTCCCATGCTGTGTCTCCTGTTGGTCCGGACACTGTAGGTGCTTGACAGAGCTCATTAGAGACAGCTGCAGCATCTAAACCATCAGGAGGCCGAATTTCACTGAGGAACACATTTTCACTGTCGTCTTCGTCATCAAAGTGGAGCTCCATCAGAGACACCGGGCCCCCTGCAGACCTTGTGGATTCACTACGCAATGTAAGCTCCTGCATGTGCATGCAACAACCAGGGTGGAATGAACACAAAACAAAAAAAACAAAAAGACAACACCACAAATTATTTAAGGAATATTTTGGAAAGAAAGCATCTCCTGAGGACAGGTAATTCACAGACAAACAAGCAAAATGCTGGAGGCCACCATATCAGGCTCATTAAACACCTGAAGAAAGGCTTTAGAAAATAAAAACTACAGAAAAGTAAAAAAGAAACTGGAGAACAAAAGGTGACTAACCAGTGGAGAGTGAGATGGCTGGGAGTTGTGGAAGACCCCATCAGGTGGGTATATCCTGAGAAGGTTATTGGGTGTGACGTTTAGGTAGTGATTTCGGTGTGATGGTGAAAACACACCCACCTTTAAAAGTAATGAGAATTATGTGGACTTCTTGCCTCATTATTCAATAGAAACAAAGTAGAGGGCTGGGAATCATAGAGAAGAGTGAAGGATCTGGATCTGTAAATATATTTAAGGACTATCTTGTTATGCCCACATAAGCACCACAGCTCTGCATGAGCCATCTGTTAAGCCATGGCACGGAGTAATCTAAAGTGTATATTATTTCCTGTGATAGTCTATAATGAGGTCTGAAATATAGTTACTTGTTTGAGTAGTAACACAGCTCCTGTCTTGAGCTCTCCCAGTCTTTCCTCTACCAGGCGACGATGAACCGTGCCCTGCATCTCACCTTCACAGGGCAAAAGAAAAAACAGAAAAAGAGAAGTCAAAAAAGACTTCTGAAAATAAGAGTGCAATCAGACCAAGAACACCAGCTCAGTCAGTGACCTCCTGATTTCACAGTCACTGTGATTGTGTGCGTGTACCTGTTTTTCTGTTCTGGTGGGGACTTAAACCTGAATACACACAGACTCATGGGGACTCGTGTCATTGTGGGGACCTAAATTGAGGTCCCCACGGGTAAACAAGCTAATAAATCACACAAAATGAAGTTTTTTGAAAATCTAAAAATGCACAATTTCCTGTTAAGGGGTAGGGTTGGTGTAGGGCAATAGAATATATGGTCTGTACAGTATAAAAACCATTACGCCTATGGAGAGTCCCCACAAGGATAGCAAACCAGACGTGTGTGTGTGTGTGTGTGTGTGTGTGTGTGTGTGTGTGTGTGTGTGTGTGTGAGTGAGTGAGTGAGTGAGTGAGTGAGGGAGTGAGAGAGTATGGTGTGTGTGTGTGTGTGTGTGTGAGTGAGTGAGTGAGTGAGTGAGTGAGTGAGTGAGTGAGTATGGGATAAATATGGTGACCCATACCACAATGGAGAAACATTTTCTAAATACTTAAGCAACAAAATGCTTAAGGCGATTTTTTCAAAAAATAATGTGCGATTAGTTAATTTTTTTTTTAAATCGATTGACAGCACTAATATATATATATATACTCAAAAGTTTGGGATCAGTAAGATTTTTCATGTTTTTTTAATGGAGTCTCTTGTGCTCATCAAGGCTGTATTTATTTGATCAAAAATACAGAAAAAGAAAATTAATATTGTGATATATTATTTCAATTTCTAATATTGGTTTTCTGTTTTAATACACTTTAAAATATAATTTATTCCTGTGATGGCAAAGCTGAATTTTCAGCATCATTACTCCAGTCTTCAGTGTCACATGATCCTTCAGAAATCATTCTAATATGCTGATTTGTTATCAGCTGTGTTTTTATTTTTTTTTTACATACTGGTAAAAAATTTATAGCCTGAATGCACTGCAAGTCGCTTTGGATAAAAGTGTCTGCTAAATCCATAAATTATTAATTAAATAAAATTATCATAATTAATTAATTAATTATTATTATTACTTTTTTCTGTGCACAGATACATCTGTAGAATACTTAAAAAAAATAAAAAATAAAAAAAATAAATTGACTGATTCCAAAATTTTGAACGGTAGTGTATATTGTAACACAAGATTTCCATTTTGAATGCTGTTTTTTTTTTAATATTTTCATAAAATAATGCTGAAAAAAGTATCACAGGTTCCTAAAAACATGAAGCAGCACAACTGTTTCCAACATTGATAATAAAGCAGCATATTAGAATGATTTCTGAAGGATAACGTGACTGAAGACTGGAGTAATGATGCTGAAAATTCAGCTTTGCCATCACAGGAATAAATTATATTTTAAAGTATATTCAAATAGAAACTTATTTTAAATTGCAATAATATTTCACAAAATAACTTGTTTTTGATCAAATAAATACAGCCTTGATGAGCAGAAGAATCTTCTGTAAAAAATATTAAAAAATCTTACCGATCCCAAACGTTTGAACGGTAGTATATATTACTACAGTTATTACAGCATAAAGTGCTAAATAAATGGTTTAAAAAGCACCCTAGCCTCATGAAGTTGGATGAGAAAAAGAGTGAAAAGAGAGAAAAAGAGCAAAATGGTGGTGACTTTGAAGCAGCTAAAATATAGTTTTCATTTTGTTTAGTCACTGCCTGGTGGTGTATATGCCCTAATTATTAGTACCTGTGGGATCTCTGAAGACGGCCTTCGCATCTGCATGTGTGTGTGTGATACTCTTCAAGACGACAGCCATATTAGGGACCTTATTCTTAGCTAGCTGCCTGAGAGCAGCCTGGAGTGAGAAAGCGATGTCACAAATAAGCACCAAAGAAAAACAAGAGAATAAGAGAAAAGAAAAAGCATAAGTTACAGCACAGCCTCAAAGCCATTGGTAATGAATCAAGTGAAAAGCTAATCAGCATTTGTCAGCCTAATGAATATTTAACACACGTGTACCATTAGCAGAGGATCGTTATGACACACTGGGCAAAACACATTAAAATTACATTAATAATCACTTTAAGGTGACTGATGACAACAGTGATTATGTTTGTGTTAATCATTTGGGGAGCCAAGACTCCTCATTTGTACTGACTATAGCCATGGACTTCCACTTTAGGCGTAAATAAAAGAAATACAAATATTTATTGTACAAATCTGGATAAAAACGAAGAAATCTGCAGACTAACAAAGTTCTATCCTTAACAATATTTTTAGCACAAACAATCAAATAAGCTCACCTTGCGGAGTACCATGACAACACTGTAAGTGTGCAGAAAGCAAGAAGGGTTCTTCTCGTCCAATCCCATCTCAGTCTTCATCACTGCCCACGGACCCCTGCTGAACTCCTCTTCCTCACTCATCTGAGAGCTGGAAACCTGCTGTGAAAAATGGACACCATTTCTGATGACTGCAAGTTTTTGAGTATGTGTGAGAGAAAGTGGACCTGTGAGCGATTCCACACAACTGCAAAAAGTGTAAAAAAAAAAAAAGAAAAAGAAAAGGATTCACAATATTTTGATACCACATCAGATTTTTCACATTTTGGTATCAGCTGAGATTGGATATTTAATAATTGTTGATGCACATTTTTCCCATTTTTACATATTGAGCGTGCCATCATTTAACACTAACCAATTTAATAACACTACTAAATATAATACTTAGAAAATATTTAAATAAATATCCATTTTATAATGGTGTGATGCATAAAAATTCACCTGTAGCATTTAAAATGACTGATTTAATTTAATTTTTTAAATCAGCCACAACAGGTGCAAACATTAATACTTCACTTTTAAGTAATGTTTATTTATATAAATTTGGTTCTCCTTACATTGGGAATGCATTTTATTTCAGTACTATTTATATACTATTTTATATTTACATATTGAAATAGCTTTTAAATTTTTATACATGGTTTTCACTTTAATTTTAGTTTAGGTTTTAGTCATTCTGTTATATGCTTTTATCATTTTTATGTATTTTTAGCTTCAATTTATTTTTATTTCACTTGTACAGTAGTTATAGTAATATAAAGGTAGCGTAGGCGATTTCGGAAAGGCTAGTGATAGCAAACTAGCCTTGAAAACAAGATCCCCACCCTCCCTTCAAATCACTCTGCAAAGCCACGCCTCCCCTAAAACTCCAGAGAGCTCCAGAGTTATTTCATCTAGTTGGCAAGACAACATTTCTAATTTTTGTTTACGTTTCTTAAGCCCTTTTTAATCTAACAGTTATATATTTTTTTCCAACTACAAAAAATGATTTTTAGTTTAGCACAATTTACATACATCACTTCTTAGCCGAGCAACAGCTCCATGTGCAGGCGTCTGAGGAACTGCCACAACAATGTCATCAAGACTCTGTCCACTTGCCTACAAGACAACAAACAGAAATTAAACCATGCAAGTGAAAATAAATCAGAAATACCATTAGTCAAGTCATTTGAAAGCTGTGGAAACTTCCAGATTGCAGGGTACAGAACAATAATAAACATCAACAACAGGTAATAAAGAGAAACAGCCTTGCAGTACATTAAATAACAGTTCGGAGCTGTACATATTGTGTAACATTAACAATAATAAGCTAAAATAGCGCTTGGATGACCTGCAGTGGTAGTGCTCCTGCCGGGCCAGGAAAACGACGTGCTTTGGCTGGCATCATGCGGCTCTGTGGTCTCTGAGGTGTCTTATTGGCTGCAGACACCAGCTGGACCAGGTGATTGGTCAGGACAGGCGTGTTGAGAGCACGAGGCGTAAATGTGGAAGAGGACTCAGTAGTAGAAGACACAGAGTGGAAAAGAGACCCTCGGGGCTGCAGGGGGGTCCTCGGTGTCGAAGCGCCCCTCTGGCACTGAGGCGACACTAATGGAGGCCTGGGAGTCACAGCTCTGGGGAATCGCGAGGCTGGTGTAGCGGGACCATGCATGTGATCTGCATTCCGCAAAGGAGTAGATGGATACATGGGGCCTTGGATGGTGGACACGAATGAGGTGTTGACTAAGGGCCGTGTAATTGACACTGAGGAGGTAGCGCTGAAGCTCCCATGAGAAGACACTTGTGGTGCTGACGGCCTCATGCGTTTAGCAGGTGAAATGTTGTCCAGGGGTGCAGCTGGATTATTTTGTGGCTCAGAAACCATCTGAGGAATGCTATCCAGTTCCTCCAGATCCACATCCCAGTCGTCAAAGTCATCCTGAGGAGGGAGGTCTCTCTGCGGGACTCTAAGAGATGCTGGGGGTGGAGGGTTTATTGGGTTAGAGAAAGGTTGCAGGGATGACACCGGCGCTCTGAGAGAAGAAATGGAGGCAGAGATTGACTGATGGCAAGGCATAGAGAGATCTGGTAGGGCACTGATAGTGCCACATGCTGGGGTACGAGGAGTCTGAACAGAACCAGATTCAGAGGTATTTTTCCCAGGGCCTGATGACCAGCTAACAGAGCTCTGCTGTACAAGCGAGGATTCAGATGAGGGTGCTACAGAAGATGCATGCTCTGATGGACGCGTCCAATCAGCTTCAAGCAAATCCTACAGATGAAAAATTATGAATGACATGATAACCAAGCAAAGGTGTGCGTGAGTTGTCATATGTAAATAAAACTTCTAAAAGGCAGAACACACCGAAATATAAGTTATAGTCCGACATATTATTTCGAAGCACATTATAAAGCGTACAGTTAACGTGCAAGTGGCGTTACTCAACTATACTAACAGGCTTTAAAATGCATTTTAAAACTTTAAGTAAGCTACATTCCAAACCTCATCATCAAACTCCTCTCCAACGGTGAACAAGCCCTTCCATTTACTACAAGCCTGTATCAACAAACAATAAATATCACCATCATTAATAATAATCAGTTTACATAGTTGTTAGTTAACAAATTAGCTAGCTGTTTGTATATAGCTTACCGTGGCTGTCATGTCTGTTCAGTAAATAAGAGCAGATATATAACGCGACAAGCATCGACCGTTAATGTAAGCAACTATCAGTTGAAAGTGTCGTTCTCGTTTGATATGCAGACATTGAAAAACACCGAACATAGATCGCATAAACTCCGATTTTTACACCTTCGCGCCGCCACGTTCAACGCGCACGGCGTGCGTGACGTGTTACGTAACGTCGCCGCGCTCAGCACTAGTGAGTGACGCAGCGCCATCTGCTGGATGTGTCTGAGTTTGAGTTTGGGGTAATGGTACAGTATAGTGTGCCGAGGGGAAAAAGAGTCTTTAATTTAGTCGAGACTATAGGCAAAGGCGATTAAGATATTACTTTAATTTACACTTTTTGCTAATAGCACCTAATACTAAATGGTTAACGGCTAAATGGTGCTGAATATTGGGATCATAACACCTAGTCCTATTATGCAAACTAAGCAAATAGCATCTATTTTCTACCTCACCCAGTTCAAATTGTATCTGCCTTTTATTACAGTAGCTGCTGCCGATAAAGCTTAATGGATTTTACCACGTAAAGCACTCATATGTGAGGATATGCAGATATTTCTAAATGTGTAAGCGAGTCTCTCGATAGCGACAGGGAAGTATAAAATAAAAACTATAAATTATGTGGCTAGCAAAGTTAAATTATTCATGAACATTAAATGAATTAAACATCAGTCTACAAAACTACAGAAACGACAAAGCTGAGCTTATAACCTACATACACTTATCTGTCACGCTGATACAGACCAAGTTAATGTTGACTGCTATTGTTTTAGATAAAAGGCAAAAAAATGCTTAGTTGAAAAGTTAATGAACATTGAAATAAGTTAACAGAAACGTGTCACAGTACTAAAAAAAAAAAACTTAGAAATCTTTTTAAAATGACAAAGATTACTAAAACTTAAATTAGAATGGACAATATAAAAAAAGCCTATTCAAAGATGTACTACAATATGTATAAGTATATATGTTTATAAACACTTAGTATATATTTGCTGGTCATTTGAATCAGGTGTTAAAAGGGGCCATCCAAAATATGAAATGTTGAGGGATATATAAGAGCAGGATGCTTGTGCAAAAGTGACTTGCAGACTAAATCAACTGCAAAAACAAACAGATTTTTTATTTTATTTTCCACAAACAATACAGAGGTGCCATATTGTTAAAACAGTTCTAGAACTTCTGGAACTGCTTCTTGGCTCCAGCTGCCTTGGTGACCTTCAGGACGTTGAACCTCACTGTCTTGCTGAGGGGTCGGCATTCTCCAACTGTAACGATGTCGCCTACGGTCACGTCCCTAAACAAATGGAGAACATTAGTGATATTCAAGAAAAAAAAATTTCAGTAATCAGAACTTATGCACAATATCTCCCAAACTAAACTACTTATAATCCCAAACACCTTGAGGACAAAGAAACATTTTAAGCATTATCTGCTGCATCAGTGATGCCATACAGCAGTGTCGTCAGAGCCTGACAGACTTGGAAGACCATCGTGAGAAAAAACATCATTTGCAGCTCACCGCCCATTTAAAGCATGTGTTCAAATCCACAAAAAGGGTCTACAAAATTGTTCAGCCCCTAAAAGAAACCACCAATGGAGAAACTTTACCTGAAGCATGGTGAGAGGTGGACAGACATGTTCTTATGCCTCTTCTCAAAACGGTTGTACTTGCGGATGTAATGCAAGTAGTCCCGTCTGATGACGATGGTCCTCTGCATCTTCATCTTGGTCACCACACCTAGAAAAAGGTGACAGCCAAATAAGTTCACATACATTGTATATCAATGGCCAGCATACAGAATCTTCTAATCTACAGCAAAATTAGATACAGGGAAGCATCAGTAAAGCCATTAGGCATTATCCTCAAAACCCAAAGGGTTCAGAAGACCATCGTGAGATAAGACATCATCTGCACCCCAGATAACACTACAATTAGCCAGCAAACTACATAGACCTACCGGACAGAATCCGGCCTCTGATGGACACGTTTCCAGTGAAGGGGCACTTCTTATCAATGTAAGTGCCAGCAATAGCCTGTGAAATGAAGCACAATAACCTTAGTCATTTGAACTCAACTGAGGTTGCACAATGTTAGCATAATCAACTGCATCAGCATTGCCAAAGGCAGTATCCTCAGAGCTCTCTTGGAGTCTAGGAAGACCATCGTGAGAAAAGACATCATCTGCGAAGTGAAGTTACACTTGCGTGTAAACACAAGCTCACCTCTCTGGGGGTTTTGAAGCCCAAGCCAACGTTTCTGTGATAACGTGGGAGCTTCTCTTTGCCACTTCCTTCAACAGCCAGAACCCGCTTCTTGTTCTGGAAGATGGTGGGCTGCTTCTGATAAGCCCTCTCGTTCTGAAACAACACCACCACAAGCACAGAGTCAGTCATATTCCTGACAAACTAATGCATGTGCTGGAGTAACATTTATATAAAGTTACAGAACACAAGTCTGATCAAGGTTTCCATTGGACATCTTGGACTATTAGTATATCCTCACCTACACCAAACCTGAAGAACTTTCAGAGCCAATGTTTTCCCAATTAAAAAGCTATTTCAAAACACTCCAGGGATTTTATGCTGCATCAGCATTGCCAAAGGCAGTATCCTCAGAGCTCTCTTGGAGTCTAGGAAGACCATCGTGAGAAAAAACATCATTTGCAGCTCACCGCCCACGTGTACAAATCCACAAAAAAAGGCTCTACAAATGTTATAGAGATAACTACATAGACGGCATCTTTACAGCTCTTTTTAGAGGAAGACTATTCCTTCTGGATGACATCCATGTGCTATCCATGCCTTGCAGACAAATTCGGCTATTTTACCACTCAATAAGACAGACTCAACAGATAAAATACAGCCATTTTATTTATATCACAACTTTAAGCCAAATAAACGGTTACATGTTTAAATAAAATCACTTTCTGCTGGTCGGCTAAGGCAAGGCCGCTCGCCTTCCCGTTCATCAACGCTTCCTACCCGTTAACCGGAGACGGAAAACACATATTCGAGTCTCCAGTGTGGTCCATTTCGCCATGACTGCATCCATGGTGGTTTCTTTGCCGCTTATCTACCAGAATTTGTGGCTTTGAGCTTAAGTTTAACGTCAAACCAAACGGGTTTTCACGACCACGCCGTTCAGACTCGCATACCTGTATGTCCGCCATCTTCGCCAGCCGAGTCGTAAAGAGGACTACACATGCGCGAGACAGACGGAAGAGCGGTTTCCGCGGACGTGACGACACACTGTGGGTGGTTATTATGGCTCTGGTTTGTCCCAGTAGCCCCGGTTTGTCAGGCCTGGGATACAGCAAAAACAGGAAGCTAACAATACATTGAATTTTCTACCTATTACATTGTGTTTTATTAACGTCTACACCTAGCCCAACACTACACCTACCCCTTACAATAATGCAAAAATAGTCATTATTGTTGTACAGTGTGAGACAAGGTACGCTATATTGATGTGCGCATGCCCAGTAGCTTTTGCTGTATGCCATCTAGCCTTACCCGTTATCCGTGGTTATTTGATTACTTACATTTAAACAACTTTAACGACACTGTGTGCGTCGTGTGGTTGGTTACCGTCTTATTTCAGTGTTGAGAAGGTACTGAATTCTGTAATCTCTCATATTTCTTTACCAGTGTTGGGATAAGTAACTAGTTTACATGTAATTAACATAGACTGTATAAAACAGGTAATTAATCAACGTTGCATAATTTAATTACAAAATAAATGTAATTGTAATCAGTCACAGTTACTGAGATAAAATTACAGTTACTTATGAAAATGTTAACGATTACAAAGGGGGTTACATCTGAATTTTTCACCCACACCCACATACAAATGCATTTGATTTCTTTCATGAATTGTATTGACTGCTCTAAAATACGAGACACCAATGTTTCAGGAGTTTAGGACACAGAATCGGACACATGCTTATTCGATAATTGTTTTATTTCCTATTTGTGTATATGCAGAGAGAGCATTTCAAAAACAGTGTCATCATAGCTACTAAACTATTTCTTGTTATGATTTAAAATCTGTATTTAACCTCAGAATGATCTGAAAGTAAGTCTGATTTTGTGGTGGCCGTGCTTTAAAATTAAATTGATGAAGGATTTCGAAAGTGACAGTAATCAGTGTTGAGTACTACTGTAAGGTTAACCCCGCCTGGTTTACATGTCTGAAAACGATTAACAGTTGAAAACATTAGACATTAAGAAAAGTAATCAAATGTAATCAGTTACATTACTTTAATAAAATAATTGAAATTACACTACTTTCATTTCAGATAGGGTAACTTGTAATCTGTAACCTATTACATTTCCAAAGTAACCTTCCCAACACTGTCTTTTACCATGATGTAAATAAAAACAGTTTGTTTAGGTTCAAATTTATTATAAATATCATAACCTATGTTTGGGCATAATTTAAATTCAGTAAAAGTATGCTCTGAAAGGCTGAAAGAAACATTAAATGTAATCTTCAATGGGATTCTACACAGATAGAGTAAAGATAACCAGTAACATAATTACTTGCTGATAAGTAGCAACAGGAATAAGCAGACTACTAGTATTTGATTAGTAAGAATAATAATAATAACGGAAGTTTATTGAACCTTTAGACAATTTTTTTAATGTAATAAAAAGTTTGTATATGTGTGTGTTTTATGTGATACTTAATGCTTTTATGACTCATTTACATTTAGCAGAAACTTTTATTCAAAAGCGACTTACAAATGAGGACAATAAAAACAGTCAAAACTAACAAAAGAGCAGCAATATATAAGTGCAAATGACAAGTCTCGGTTAGCCTAACGCAGTACACGTAGCAAGGTGTATATATATATATATATTATACACACAAGTTTATATTATATTATATATATATATTATACACGTTTCTTGAAGATGGTTAAGGACTCAGCTGCTGGGATTGAGTTGGGCAGGTCATTCCACCAGGAAGGAACAGTTAATGAAAAAGTCAGTGAAAGTGATTTTGTGCCTCTTTGAGATGGCACAATAATACGCTGTTCACTTGCAGAATGCAAGCTTCTAGAGGGCACATAACTCTGAAGTAATGAATTTAGGTAAAGGGGTGCAGAGCCAGTGGTGGTTTTGTAGGCAAACATTAATGCCTTGAATTTAATGCGAGCAGCTACTGGTAGC